TAACTCCAAGGTTATTACTTGAAATAATAATTCTGTTACACGGTCTATTGGTATGCAATTGGCTAAATATGACACAACAAAGGAAGTTTGGAAACATTTGGAGAGTCTGTATACTTAGCCCAACTTTGCTAAACAATATCAGTTAGAATATGACATTCGTACCCTTCAACAAAATGATATGAATATTCAAGATTTATATGATGCTATGTCTGATGTGCGATCAATTAGCTCTTACTGAATCTAAAGAGTTATAAGTTTTTTAGCCTTATATTGCTACGAGGGAAGAACAATGTTTGGTTCGATTTTTTATGGTGTTGAGTTTTGATTTCGAAGGCCTACATGTAACGATTCTTCTTCGTTCCCCTTCCCTTAGTGGAGTCTATTGTTTATGAGCTAATTATTGAAGAAACTCGTATCAAGTCTCATGCGGATAAAGGGTCTAAAGCAATCTCCACTCCTACTTCCACTCCTTATGTGCTTGTTTTTTCCACTAATCAGTCTCAACAAACTCCAATGTTTTCTTATGATGAGTGTGCCTTCTGAAAACAAAAAAATCATTGGAAAGCTCAGTGTACATTGTTAGTTAACAAGGGTAAATCTGGTCTACCTCAATCGGGACAACATCATAGGTCTGGTCAACATATGTTTCAACCATGTTCCTCTGTTGCTCCTCAATGGACACCTCGTCATCCACAGTTCGGTACTACATCTACTGCCCCATCAGTTAACATTGAGTCTGTTGGCAACATGCCACCTTTTGCATTGGATCCCAAGGTTTTTAAGAGTTTCAGAAAATATTTGGCCTCCAATCATTCTTCCATGTCTGCATCTATGTCTCACTCTAGTCCTACTTCATCTGGTACCTCAGGTATACCTTCATCTTTGTGGATTTTAGATTCTGGTACAACCCATCACACGTCTCCTTATTTGTTATCGTTTACTTCTTTGTCACACATTTCATCTATCTATGTTATGTGTGCTAGTGATACATCTACGATAGTTGAGGGTGTTGGGTCTGTTTTGATCCCTCATATTTCTCTCCCTGATGTTTATTACATTCCCAAAATCACTTTGAATCTTGATTTAGTCGATTAGTTGTGTAATTCTAGTAATTGGGTGTTCTTTTCTAATTTCTTCAGTGTTATAAATGACCAACACACGGGTGAGATAACTTTGTGTCTTGGAAGTTCTTAAGGTGTATTTTGTTGTTGCCTTTAGCATTGATTTGTATTCCTTTCTTTTGAGTCCTTTTCTCATCATAGTTTTCTTTTTGCCATTTTCGTTTGGGACATATGATTGAATCACTTTTTATGTTTTCTAGCATCTAGTGTTGTTTTGGGTCATTTGAACACTTGTGATATTTCTGATTGTAGTGGTTCTAAATTGGCAAAATTCTCTTCTTTACCTTTCAGTAAAAGTATGTCTTGTTCTATTGATCCTTTTGATATTATTCACTCTGATGTGTGGGGTCCTACACCAATATCCACAAAGGGTGGGTCGGCCTATTATGTATATTTCATAGATGATTACACTCGTTATACATGGGTTTATCTTATGAAACACAAATCTGATTTGCTTGGCATTTACAACAATTTTCGAGATTTTGTGATAAAGTGTTTCAGGTGTGACTTAGGGGATGAATACACTTCTAATGATTATACTTAGTTGCTTGCTTATGATGATATCATACATCAGTCATCATGTACTTACACTCCTCAGTAAAACAGTGTGGCAGAACGGAAAGACTATTATATTGTTGAGACAGCGCATTCTTTTCTCTTGTCTGTGCAGGTCCCGAGAACCTTTTGGGGAGAAGCAATCTTAACTGCTGTTTATGTGATTAATCGTATCCCTACTACATTGAATTCAAAAGTCTCCCTTAAGAAGTTATATGGTCACCTACAAGACTACTCTGCTCTACGTGTTTTTGGATATACTTGTTTTGTTCTTTTCCCTCATATTGAGAGGAACAAGTTGCGGCTGAAATATGTTATTTTTGTATTTTTTGGGTTGGTGTTGGATAAAAAGGACATCGTTGCTATGATCCTATGAATCAGAAGTTATATGTTTCCCAACATGTCAATTTTTTGGAAGAAATTCCTTTCAACTTGATTCCTGCTACAACCCATAATGTAACGAAGTCAAATATTCTACATATTAATCCTTTTGATGTGGATATAGAGGCTCGAGAGTCATCTATGCCCCTTGATCGTCCATTTCCTGACACACCCACTTCTTTAGAGAGTTCCTCGACTCCTCCTATTCCTGATTCTTCCCCTTTGACTATTGAGATTGAAGACCCGCCTCCTCCATCCCTCAGGAGGTTTACTCGTCCTATTAAGTCCACCAAGCTTCCATATTTTGCTTACTCTACATACCCAGGATCATTTGCTTCATTTATAGCCAGTATCCATCATCTGTCAAAACCTGAATCGTATAAAGAGTCTGTATTAGATCCTATTTGGCAGAATGCTATGGCTGAGGAACTCAATACTCTTTATTAGACTCATGCATGGGATTTGGTTTCTCTTCCCCCAGGTAAACATACAATTGGTTTTCATTGGGTGTACAAGATAAAAAGAATGTCTGATGGGTCTGTTGAGCGATACAAGGCCAGACTTGTGGCAAAAGGGTATCCCCAACAGTACGGTTTTGACTATGAAGAGACATTTGCCCCGGCGGCAAAGATGACGACAGTCTATACTATGATTACAGTTGAATCCGTGCGACAGCGGAAGATCTTTCAAATGGATGTCAAGAATGTCTTTTTAATAGTGACCTCCACGAGGAGGTTTATATGTATCCTCCCCCAGGCATTCATCACCAGTCGGGTGAGGGTTTTCGGCTTTGCAAAGCCTTATATGGTCTCAAGAAAGCGCCTCATGCTAGGTTTGAGACATTCATCATAGTGATTACCTCTCTTGGATTTGTCTAGAGCAATCATAATTCATATTTGTTTATTAGATGCATGACTACATGACGAATTATTTTTTCTTTATATGTAGATGAAATGATTATTAATTGTGATAATCGTGGTGGTATTGAGTCTTTGAAGCATGATCTAGCTCATCGATTTCCTATAAAAAATTTAGAATTGCTGCGTTATTTCTTGGGTACTAAGGTAGATCAGTTTAAGAAAGGGTATATTCTTTCTCAGACTAAATTATATCTTACTTGTTTACACAGGTGTGCCTCTCTGACAATCGGACTGTAGATAATCCTCTTGAAACCAATGCACGGTACTCTCCTACTGATGGTGTTCCTTTATCCGATTTGAATCTTTACCAGACTATTATGGGAAGTTTGGTTTATGTCACAGTTACTCATGCGGATATAGCTCATGATGTTCATGTTGTCAGTTAGTTTGTTACTACTCCTACTTCTGTTCATTGGAGAGTTGTACTCCGTATTCTGAGATATCTTCGTGACACTCAGCTTCAGACCCTCTTGTTTCCCTCGACGTCATATCTTGAGTTACGTGCCTATAGTGATGCTAATTGGGATGGTGATCGTCTTGATCGTAAATCCACTATCGGATTTTATGTGTTTCTTGGAGAGTCTCTGATTTCATGGAAGAGCAAGAAATAGGATGTTGTCTCTAGATCTTCTACGGAGTCTGAGTATCGTGTTATGGTTGTGACTACATGTGAGATTATCTAGTTACGGTGGCTTCTTGTGATATTAGGGTTCATATTTCTTCACCTACTCTTATGTATTATGATAACAAAAGTGCGATACAAACTGAGAATAATTTTGTTTTCCAAGAGCAGACGAAGGACATTGAGATTGATTGTCACTTCATCTGTTATTACTTACAACACGAGACCATATCGCTTCCATTTGTTCCATCAACCTTGCAGTTTGCTGGTATTTTTACGAAGGCTTTGTTAGCGTCTCAGTTTCGTTTTTTGTGTGACAAGCTCTCAATGCTTATTGGTGTGGCATTGTGAGTTTGAGGGGGGATGTTAGCTCATATGTTATTAGCCCATATGTTTATGGGTCTTTTGTCTTTAGCCCTTTAGGGTTGAGTCCTTTTGCTAGCTATATATATTCATCTTATTCTTCTTTGTAGCTCTAACATTTTTTAATGAAAAACTATCTTTTTTTATCTTTCAAATATGAATATTGTTCTATCATCAGATATTATTGTCATTTTAGCTTTAATAAGCTATACGTGTTTTAAAGAGTTAGGATCCCTTAAGATTGTATGAGTAGAACTCACTCAGCTCACTTACACGTAAGCTCCACATCAGTTTTCTCTATTAGGATAGCATGAGTAGAACTCACTCAACTCACTTACACATCAGCTCCATGTTAGTTTTCTCTATTATATTTTCTCTCATCTTTCCTAACCCACAATACATGAAAACAATATATTTCCCAACTCACTCAATTAAAAACATACAAAACAACATATCGTACAAGTCCTTAAGCTATTGGTACAAGAAGAGAGAGAGAGAGAGAGAGAGAGAGAGAGAGAGAGAGAGAGAGAAAGAGAGAGATGGATGAAATTGGATTCCTCCACCCGCCAAAGAGCCTACATGCAATCCATATGTAAAGTCGAAGCAACCACATTGGCGGTACCGCCGACCCAAGGGTCGCTTCTACTTGGTCCACCCTTACTCAAGAAAAGCTTTGTATTAAGGGTTTGAAAAAATAAGTTTAAAAACAATTTATTCAATAACCAAATATTTTTTTAGATTTGTTTGTTTTTAAAAAAATCGATAAGTTAATATTTTAAAATTCAATCCCAAACATCCCATCTTAATGACTTACCAATGTAATGAGTTACCAATGTAATGGGATCTTCAATCTCGATAGTCTAACTTAGCCACTCAAACCAGCAAAGAAGTGTTTTTTAAATTATTAAGTTGTATGTACTTATATAAATGTAAACAAGATATTCTTTAATTTATTTATATATGATGCTACAATATCCAAAATCCATTTAAATTAGTTGTTGGTGATGAAGAATTGGATAAAAATGTGTCATATTTTAATATTCTTTTCATTTATATTGTCAAAACAAGATAGCATATTTTATCATTTCAACCACACACATATAATTAAATTATACAATTAATTTATCCATCTTTAACTCCTACTTATTGTAGATGCTGCTTCCGATCTCCTTAAGTTCTTCAAACGCATTCATCGTCTCTGTGTCAAACCCTCCTGCAAACTGGACATATAATCCCCTTCCGTTACTAACACTACTTACCCATAATCTAAATATTTACCACAAGCTTTCTTTTACCTGATGAACCCGGAAAGCAAATCGAACACCTTGAATTAAAAGGTCTCCCTCGCGTGAAGCTTCGTTGCTTTTTAATTCTTTAGCTATCCTTCTCATACATTCTCTTGCCAGTTTCAGTGAACTTAGTTTTATCTGTAACGAATATAAAGAATCTTTAACTTGAAGATTTGTAGTTAATCATCATACCAATAAAGTGGCTTTTGTTAATTAAGTAGTGGTTAAGTGTTCTTATCATTAAAAGCTTTGCTTGGTAGTAAAGCTGAGAGTGGTTTCCACCTACCTGACCTACAACTCCGGTGTCCATCAGCCACTGCCATGGAATCTGAAGCTCCTTGTACTTCTTACTTGTACTTTCTCTTGTTCTTTCCAGTCCACTAATGCTCGACTCAACTCTGAAAGGACAAAATATAATCGAGTTTTATACAACTAATGGAAATTTAATACATTAATGGTGATCTATATATATTATACTGCTACATACTTGCCTGTCTTGCAGTGCTTGAATCTTCCTTAGCGATTGAATCAATGGCTGTTTTGGAATGCTTTTGAATGCTAAAACTTCGGATTCAAGATTCTTGAGGTCTCGGTAACTGAAAGCAGCTTCACGTAAAGCATCGGCTTTTCTTTCCGGCCATTGAGGGAAGTGCTTTAGTACAGCCCTTTCATCGACAAGACACGATAGTTCGCCATCTAGCCACTTCACAAATGCCTCTACATCTGAAATCTCAGTAAATGCTGCACTTTGTACTTCTCGTATCAAAAAGTTAAGCAATTGGCCGTATTTCTCGACATCGGATTTTATCTGACATGAGATTTTTGTCGTCAGAAGTGATCAGAACTTGTTTAAAAACGAGTAGTTTTGTCGGTATTTTAAGAAAAGAAGTACAAGTATCTTCGGAGTGATGAGATACTTACAGATGTAAGATAAGTAGACCGGTTCTCGATTTCTCCGATCATGTCTCGAGAAGTAACTGGGAGGAACCCTGTGGCACCATTTTTGTTCTCTTTCTGGGTGTCTCTCTTCATTAGTGATCGATAGAATTCCATAACTGCTGGAACACGTCTTACAGCTCTTGATCCAACCGGAGACGAAGGTAGAGGTGGCGGTGGTGGCGGTGGTGCTATTACTCGTTTTTGCAGCCACTGTGGTGGAGAAGGTGGTGGCTTCGGTAGAATCGCATTTGCTTCTGTATGGTTTGAAGTTGGTTTCTTTAATGGTGCCTCTAGTACCCCAACTTGAAGCTTGGTTTTTTGTGTTGGTTCGTCTATAACCTTGCCGCATTCCATCGAACTCTGTAATTTCTTCCATAGCATCGATTTCCTCTCTAAATCATGTGCTTTTAGTGTGTTGATTTGTGCCTTAAGACGACCCATTTCTTGTTTTAGTTCATGATTCTCTTTCTCCATAGAATCGATCTTCACAAACGAAGCTTCGAGTTCTCTCTTCAGAAAGGTGATGATGGAGCCATCCTCACCGGACGGCATTTTCCAATGACGGTAGCAGTGGAGAAACAGTGAAGGAAATGGTTGGGGATCCCAAGTGTTACCAAGTATTATTATTGGCTTCTAAAATAAGGCAAAGGGTATTCTCACCTACACCTATGAAGGTAGGGTTTGACTAAATTGCCCCTGTGCTGTTTAGAACAGGAGACATGAGGTACGGGTCTTTTCGGCAATTCCGGAAGCTAATAATTACGTTTGCATTTACTATACAAAATTGAAGATTTACTAAATTGCTGTTGATATATAAGTAGGGTCGTACACAAACCGAACGAAAACGAACGAGAGTTTTTTTATGTTCGTTTATTTAAGTTAGTCGAACAAATAAACGAATAAAAACGGATAAACGAACGAGTTTTCTTGTTCATGTTCGTTCATTTAACAAATTACATTGTTCATGTTCGTTCATTTATATTCATGAGCATGTTAAATGAACATAATATAAACGAATACAAATAAACAAACATAAGTGAATATATATGAACATAAATGAACATATAATATAGTAATGTAATCAAACATAATTAAGCATATATGAACATAAAGGAACTTACATGAACGAACATACATGAACGTAAACGAATAACATTAACGAACGTTCACGAACATAATTGAACGAATGAGACCATTGTTCATGTTTGTTCGTTCGATTTACTAAAAGAACGAGAATTTGTGTTCATGTTCGTTCATTTATTAAATAAACGAACATAAATGAACTTTCCGTCAAACGGTTCACGAACAGTTTATTGAACATTCAGTTCGTTTACAGCCCTATATACAAGTGGTGGCATGTGTTAAGTATTTGAAACATTATATTTTAACATGTCACCTAAACATATCATGGTGTTAGGGAGTGATTGTGAGTTTGGTATTGATCTTGGAAGAAAAAAATTAATAAATAAAAAAATAAAATAAAGTAAAATAAAATAGAAAGAGTCTATCACAATCACCCACAAACACTCTCTCGCCATCATTTTCCTCTATTATTCTCCTCTCTCATCTCGCTAGTGATCAGACGAGTTTGGCATAACGTGACCCTTAGCACATAAGGGGTGTTGTTTGACGCCCTTAGCATACGTGGCTAGGAGCTTGGTGCATGCCACTCCTAGTAGTCTGAGTACGAGACATCAACAATATCTTAAAGATCGATTTTGTTTAGTTTGGCATCTGCATTTCAATTCTTTTTATGGTCCGATTATTCGCAATGACTTACTTGATTTACCTGATTTACCCTCTATGCTAGAGACTAGGGGTGAGCATTCGGACCATTGGACCGGATCGGATCGGGAACCAGAGTTAGACCAGACCTTTACCTGGACCTGGTAAGCCTAATAGGTCCGGTCCAAAGTCCACCAATTTTTGCCAAACCATGGTGATCCGGTTCGCTCCAAAAGCTCACCCTTATAGTCATAATAGATAAACTAACTTTCGGTAGGGCTTCAACAAGTTGTATTGTATGCACCAAAAGTTGTATCGGTCCAACGGGTACAATAACCGAAAAACTCAGACCAGAAATTGTATCCGATAAGCCTCAACAATTTCGGTTCATGGTCTGTCAATTTCTATCAAACCGGTCGGTCCGGTCCATGAGATGGTCTGATCTGGTCCGGTTTGATTCATATGTGTTTTGATCAACCACACCCATATATAAATACATATGTCTCATAATGAAAATGCATCTATAATAGAGGGTACAAATAATATGTATGTATATATGTTAGAAAGCACAAATAAAATCACTATATTTTTAATGTAAACTTTACTTTATATGGTTAGCTTATGTTTTGCATTTATTTAATCTTTTATAAGATTGTATTTCACATCGAACATTTGTATTAGTAAGCTTGGACCTAATAGACATGTAAAATACCATAATTACTAAACAAAAGATATAATATACTTTGTGTACATAAAAAGAATCAGATGTTAGGATTAAATATTCTGAGAAACACAAGATAATAAAGATGCAAAAAAACAATAAAAAATATAAGAATTTAACGTGTGTTAGTGGATCCAGGTAATGAAAGAGTAACGTGGGTCATCAGATGTTAGGATTAAATTCTTGAATATACACTTTCTGTATTACGGTTACAATCGTATTATAAGATCTATTTATAGTATTGTTTTGATCTAATTCCTTTTAGATTAGGCCCGTGAGCCCACTAACTGAAGTCAACACAAGATGGTAGATTTGGTCTCCGAGTTTCTGTTGGAAATGATGTTCAATGTCATTAACTGTTTTTGTAATATTTCTAATAATAGAAGAGTCATTTTGGGTTAGCATCATTACCCAAATAGCATAAGAAAAAGGAGATTAATAATATGTTAATTTATTAAGGAATTAATAAATTAATAAGAAATTATTCTAATAAATTAATTAAAAGGATTTAATTAATTAAAGAGGGCGAATATTAATTAATCTAAGGGATTAATTTGAATATTTCAGAACCTCCTAGAGAGAGGTTATGGACGGTTTTCATATCCCTTGGATGTAGATATGGCAAGTTTAATTTAGATAAGGATAAACCTTAGAGTTTGTGTCCTTTTGGGGTACCCCTTGCTCAAATATAAGTAGACTGCTAGGGTAAACCCTAGAGCTAGTTATTCATAGGGTTAAAATCGTCTAACCTTTGTCTCTCCCTCTCATTAGACAAAAATCACACCCTCTCTCATAGGGTTCGGTGATTTTTATATAAACCCTAATTTGGGTTAAATCTTTTTGCTTTTTGGTGTTGTGGGTCTGATTCCATTAAAGGTGTGCTCTTTTGGATCCTTTCATCTTTGCAACAAGAAGACAAATACAAGATCACAAGAAAGTAAAAATGAGGTTAGTAATCCTTCACATTTGTTATTTTCAAAGTAGGTTGTTATAACTAGTAAAACAAATATCCTAGGATGCATGTGCACTTACGTATATATTTTGATAATTCTGCTACCTATGAGTTGTGTACTTGATGCTATAAATCTCCCAACAGTTTCTAGGTCAAACAGAAGTTTAGAGTATGGGACTGCTCCTATCCCTGAAGGATAAAGCGTGATCTACACTGAAAATGAAGCTCAAGTGATGAGCTTCGCTCTTTATAGATGTGCTTATGTGTTTGGTTTCGTTGCGAACTCTTCAAGCTTTGCTTCTAATTGTATCTGAAACAAATACTTTGCAGTTGCACTTCTAAACCGTCTATAGCATGCAAATTCACCCTTTTGAAACTTCACTTATAAGCAACTTTCAGCAACCTTCGCCAAACAGATTCACTCTTTGTCGAAGCTTGCATTATCCATTTCGCTATGTGACCGAAGCTTTGCACCTACAACTTTCTCCCGAATCCTTGGATCCTTCTATATGAACTTCTCCAAGATATTATTTTCAAGGGCGTCGCCCCGATCACCTCAAGGGGCGGTCCCATTTGACCCATGTCTGCTCTTTTAGGAATAAGACCTCATCCTTGGTCTCTGTAGCGGCAATGAGATCTAACATCTTGTTTTTCATTTAATTATTTATAAAAAGGTTTATAAAATATTAAATTATATGAAAAGTTATATAATTAAAGATAAACTTAAGGCTATATAAATGAATTAAATAAATAAAAGAGATTATATAAAATTTAAAGAGATAGTAAATAATTTAATAAAAAGAAATAATGAATGAATGAATGAATGAATATTAATAAAAGTACTTAGAAATAATTATTTAGCATATGAAAGGCTTCAAATCTAATAAGGAACTAAAAGGTCCAAAATTTGAAAATTAAATTGCTAAGATTTTTACCTTAGGGGTTGTTTTTGTCAAAATAGGAAAGTTCAAGGGCTGAAATGTAAATGGGAATAAAGCCCATGGACCATTGGAAAAAATATAGTGCACCCTTTTACCCAATAGGCAAACCATATCCCACGTCTTATGTTGCACCACCAGTTTAAAAGGGGAAGAGAGAGGGTAGGAAAAATGGCCGAAAAGAGGGAGAACCAAAGAGTGATGGGCTGCCAAAATTAGTCATCAAAAAATCATTAGAGAAGGGAGGAGATGAAGTGTTTCAAGTTTCTTGGTTCTTCAAGATTGGTATAACCTTGTTATTCTTAAGCTTTTTCTTCTCTTTTCTATCTTGAAAACACAACACACACCGCCACTAACCACCACTTTCGGTGGTAGTGGTAGTTCCAAGAAAATCACCACATTACCACCAAGACATCCTTGGGTGGTGGTGAGGTCATTTGAGATACAATTTATATGGCTATATGACTAGAAATTCTATTTTTCTTCTTATTTTGGTATAAACACGGGTCTGATGGTTTTTTTGTCATGAGAAGACGACCATGTTACAACCACTTCATAGTATTTAAGTGGTGTTTGATTTTACAGCCTATTTTTGTGAATCAAGTGCTTAATGGGTTTAGGTTTAAGGTCGACTTCAAAATTCTTTCTAATGATCAATCATGTGAAGAAGTATTATTGTATTGATTGATTTTCAGTCAAGCTCTTAACCCATTTAGATCATTACTTTATACATCTGAAAATACATGGTTAGAGATTGTATTTCACTTAAATGAATGATAATGAAATTATTCATTATGTGCTTAATGAGTCTGGTGAAAAATAAACTTAATCATTGTAGTATTGTGAATACATGAATCTATCCCCTATCTTTGAAAAATTGTATAAAATCAATTTGATGTCAAACTTGTTTTAAAATTTTGTCATTAAAATTATATGGATGTCTAGTTTCATCCATCCAAAGTAGACTAGTCAAGAAAACCCACTAATCACATTACCTATATTGTAAAAAATTATAATTAAATCTAGGGAACTCCAATTTGCATGAGGTGTTTGGATGGAGCTTGGTAAGAATGTATGCATTCTTCCCTCCAAAGCCCTTAGCCTGATTACACTCCCAAGTTGGATGAAATTATCATTCTTTGCAGATTGGTCCAAGAATAGGGTTGATTGCAATAGCATCATGTAAAATGCATAAGTAATTCTAGAAAATTTCAAAATGACATGAGGTCTTGGACTATGGTTAGAGAAAGGAATCTAGTTAAACATATATTTTTTTTCAAGGAATAATACTTG